TTTAATTACAAAATTTAATGGAAATAAAAAAAAAACAAAGTGTATTTATTTCAATATATTTATTATTAACATTAATGTAAAATAAAAATAATAATTTTACTAATTACATATAAGGTATAAGATTAAGTTTGGAGAACTCGCATGTAGTCCCTACTCTAGGTATTTATTACCAAACTAGTTGACCCGAGATGAGATTTTTTCTGATACTATTATCGTTATTGTTGTAAAAAAAATGCTAATTAATCACAATAATTTTCATATTAATAAATAAAGATCAATTCATTTTTTTACCGTTTTATCTTTTTTAGGTACTTTCGTACCCACACCCCGAAAGAAAAAATTATTTTAAACAATAAGTAGTAACTCACCCCACCCAACAAAAATTATTATTTTATTTGGGGTTAATATGTACCTATATTTAAGCTTTTAGACGATTTGATTTTCAAAAAATTGTTTTATAATGATAATAATTAACGTATTAAAATTACTATGTATACAATATTAAAATTATGATATCTACCTGTGAAAAAAACTAAATGTATGTTTTGTAGAGTGTTTTTTGATTTTTCATAAAAAAAATAATACCATGTTTTTTCCAATTGAATAAATATAATATATAGGGTGTTCAATAAGTTCGGAAACACCGATTTTTTAGAGCCGCTATTGATTTTTTTAATAATTTTTTTTTTTAGAGACTAATTGAATAATTAAATGCATCTTTTACGATTAAAATTAAAGTTCAACCCTAATGCAAAGGGGTAGAAATCTACCCTAACTTAAGAAATTTAAATGGCAACCCCTAATTTTTCTTACTCAATTCAATAGAGAATTCAATTTTAAAAAGAATTATCGTGAAAATAACTTTTTATGTTAAACCATTTTTAAATAATCGTCGTTTTAAGGGTAGAAAAGTGTCCTATTTAAAGGCAGATTTTGCTATGATAATTTTTATAAATTTAATTTTATAAAGATGATATCAATTGCAAATTATCTGCAAATTTATTAAGAAAAAAAATTTTTTATTAAAGCATGTAAAAAGAACTTAAATGGATATTTTAAAAATCGCTCTCTTATACGCGATCTTTAATTGGGGTATTTGTAGAATAAAGCATTATCGATCCATGCATATCATAATGTTTCCGGACTTTTTCCTATAGGAGTTTTAGCATTGGTATCTAACATACATAACTAGTGTACACTTTTATCTGTGACCGTTGAAACGTTTTCAATTGTTATAGTCGCTTTATCGACAATTAGTGTCATTTAAAGTACATCATGCTGTCAAACATATTACAGGTAGTAGTTTGTAAGTTTACAAAAAAATTATCAGTGATCATTATAACATTATTATTATTCAATACGCAACAACGTTTCCAAACTTATGCCTATAGGAGTTGTAATATACTTTTCAACTACCAACTAATAATTATTTTTAACTCAGGTTTAAGTAACTTGTCCACATATTTTCTAATATTACAGTTGATCTATCGACAGTTATGGGATTATTTTTAATATTAGTGCCTAAATTCAATTCTAATTTATCTGTAAGTGATACAGCCCTTAGCATAGGTAATGCAACAGTTTGTCGTCATTTTAAAACCGATTACTATTTACCAACTGATTGTTGTAATATTATTATGTTATCATAAAATACAGTGTTTTTAAATTTTGTTATTCAAATGAAAAATAGCAGATAATAATATTATCATACCAATTTTCAATTCACAGTTCGAGTATATTTTTATAAGGAATATTTAAATATTTAATAATTTAATATTTAAAGAATCTTCTAATTTCTATGGTATTTTTTTACTATTTGCTAAAATTTTGAACAACTGATATTTTTTTAACTGACTAGTTTAGAATTCAAGTTAAATATTAATATGATATAATCAAACATTTTTTGTAACATGTAAGTAAATGATAAAAAAAGAACAGTTTTGTTTCTATTTATTAAAATTTTAATTTTGTATTATTTTATTATTGTATTTATAAGGTGTTCAAATTGATGTCCATTAACTATTAAACAATGACTTAATCGATTCTCAAACTCATGAGTAACATTTCGCAAAATGTTTTGTGGTATGCAATCCATCACATTTACTATTTCATAACGAATGAGTTCTTCTAATGTATTGGGCCTCTTTTTGTAAACTTCAGATTTAACGTAACCCCATAAAAAAAAATCTAATGGACTTAGATCAGGAGATCGTGGCGGCCATTCAATGAATCCTCCACGTCCAATCCATCTATCTTCAAAAGTCTCATTTAAAAATCTTCTCACATCTAAGCTAAAATGAGCTGGAGCACCGTCCTGCTGGTACCAAATATTAGTGAGATCATCAAAACTGATAGCCTTAATTGCTGGAACAATTTGGTTTCTTAACAATTCTTTATATTTAGAGCTATTTAAGTTATTTTCTATGAAGAATGGTCCAACTATTTTGTAATTAAATATCCCAGCCCATACATTCAACTTCTCTGGATATTGTGTGTGGGCTTCTATAAACCAATGAGGGTTCTCATCAGCCCAATAAACTGAATTATGTCGATTTATGTTGCCATTAAGAAAAAAAAGTAGCTTCATCAGAAAATACAATATATTTTGTAAAAAAACTATTTCCATTATATTTTTCCAATATTGTTTCACAAAATGTTACTCTTCTTTCATAATCATCATATTTTAAGCTCTGTACCAAATTGACTTTATATGGATGATAATCTGCACTGTGTAAAATATTAAACACTGATCCTATACTTAAATTCTTATCCTTCGAAATTGCTCGAATTGAGGTATGTGGATTCTCAACAACAGTCTCTATAACTTTACATGACACATCTAATGTTACTACCGAGGTAGGACGGCCAGACCTATTCCTATCTGTAACTATCTTTTCGTTCCAAAATTTGTTATGGGTTTTAAATACTGTACCAGTTTGTATTATTATTTCTGACCTTCGCAATCATATAGATTATACGATTACTATCGTGTAGTTATTTCATTTCAATATAAAATTCAGTGTCGTAGTGCTATAGTACAACACTATCACAGCAATAACGATAATAATACAAACGGCCGGGATTGTTGACGTACATACGCAAACCCATAACGCTTATTCTCGCGATTGCATTTTTATTTTGTTTATTGTTTTTCTTTTTCATTTTCGCAAAATACGGAAAGAAACGCTCACTATGACCGGTAAAACTCTTTCTCAAATGAACTATCGGGAATTATTGCGCGAATACGCTTATAGGCAATTAAACGGCCCTACGTCAAAAAGCGATATGCTGGCAGTCTTGGAGAATAGTTTACGCAGTGAGAAGCTAGACCATTCGAACGCGATACTGCCCGAATATCCGCCGCTTCATTACGAGACGCTCGCGACGGAACGCGAGTCTCAAGTAGGCGAAGTCCCCGTGCTACTTCGGACCGTCGACCCACCCACAAACGATAATCGATCGGTCAACTTGGCTCTAGAAGACTACGAAGCTGAGTCTCTACACGAATGGTATCAGGCAACCGGTCGCCATAACGATTAGCCAGTCAGATTACGCGCGCGTCACCATCGCTACTTTGAGTGAACACGCACGAGACGGTTTTCAATTTAGATGCGCGCCCACATCACACGGGTCACTTCGGGCCGAACACATTCGCGCCATCGACACGCAATTTGTCCCCGTCATCATCATCGCGTTCGCACACACATATGGCGACCGGACAACTCAATTATTCGCCCCTTGTATGACTCCCTTCTCCCGAGTTTACGGGAAAATACGAAGAAGACCGACGGGAATTTTTGGAACAAGTATAAAGCCTTTATTGGTCCAAGCGGGCGTAGATCGCGAATTATAAGTAAAAACGGGCGTACAATTTTGAATGGGAAATCATCAAGTTAAACAACATGTTCTGGCGACAATTTGCGAAGGAAGTTTTAACGACGTTCGACAGTAACAGCATACAAGCTGAACTGGAGATCGATTTAATTATCATTGGTTTTATACACCAAATAAACCAAATTTAAGTATTAGAACTAATTACGTAGGACTGAATGATCGAGCGACGCTCGAGTGAATCTACAATGTGTAAGTTGCATTGATTAAAGTCCTGTCCGTTCAGGAAGAGTTCAAAAAAAATTGAAAAAAATTCCCTCGTTCCCCGTAAATGGGGGAAACCTCCAAAAAAATTACAAATTTAAATATCACTAATTTTCGAAATTTTTTCAATTTTTTTTACTTTAAAGTGCCATAACTTTTTTAAAAATAACCAAATCATTATAACTTTTTTTTATATATATGCATGACATCATTACTTTTCATTTGGTGTATTTTTTTTTTATATATGACCCATTACCTGCCCACAGGGGAGGATTTAAAATGACAACTTTTTCACAAAAAATTAATTTTTTTAATTTAAATTTTGAAAATGTTCCGGAAAGTCTGACACTTTTATATATATATTAAATTAAAGCTAATGTAATATACTTTATCATGAAAAAAAAAATTTCTGACTTTATCTTATCTTCACGGTGAAAATGGCTACCAAATGCTATTTTTGTGTGAAAATTTTCGATTTTGTATTTTCCATTTTTAACTTTATAACTTTTAGAAAAATGTATGGATCAATACAATTTTTTCATGAGAAGTAGTATTTATATACATCTTTCATTCGACATACTTTATCTTAATTAGGATATTAATAAGGAACTAGAAGATCATGTAGCTTTTGGATATATCCACCAATTTTTTAAAATTAAACACTATCTAAAGATTTGCATCGAAGCGTTTATTTTTGATAGTGATTTTAATCACTGTCAGATATCATTATACTTGATCCAACTATGCCACGTCACCACTGTGCCGCGACCCCCCTGTGCTGGGTTTTTNTGTGCCGCGACCCACCTGTGCTGGGTTTTTATTATTGAGTATTTCTAGATGATGTTTAGCCAATTCCGCTGACTTCCAATGCTCTTCTATTTTGTCCAGTGTTAAGTCAGGAGCTCTTAATAACCTTTCTTGTAATCCTTTATCACGTACTCCAAGACAACACATATTTTAACCATACTGTCTTCTAGGTCTCCAAATTCACATCTTTTTGTAATAGTCTTAATGTCTCTTAAACATTTATCAAAGGATTCAAAATCTTCTTGTTTTCTTTGAAAAATTATTTCTAAACCTATTCTTTTTGCCGTATCTAATAGTTTTCCCGCTTGCTCCCTGAGATTTTCCTTCTTTTCCGCAAGTAATACTATATCGTCTGCGTAGGCCAATACTCCTATTATGCAACCTCCCAATCGTACACCGTTATCTTCAATACGGCTCTCCCTGATGACCCTTTCTAACGCTTTATTAAATAGTATGGATGACAGAGCGTCCCCTTGTCTCAAACCAGTCGATACTGGTATCCCTTGTGATACAATATTGCCAACTCTGATCTTGATTTCCGTGTGTAGGATGTTTGCTTTGATCAGATTAATTAATTTCTGGGGCAATTTGAACTGTTTTAGTACATTCAACATAGATTCTCTATGTATGCAATCATACGCCTTCTTGAAATCAATAAATAGTACATGTACTTCTCTGTTAAACTCCCATATTTTTTGGAAAATTTGTTTCAAAACAAATATCTGATCTGTGGTAGATCTAATTTGTCTAAAACCTGCTTGATAATCTCCTAAAATATCTTCTGCCCATGGCTTAATTCTGTTTAATATACATTTGGATAGCACTTTATATGTAACGTTTAATAGAGCGATACCTCTATAATTATCACACAACTGCTTATCTCCCTTTTTATGTATAGAATATATTAGTGCTGTTTGCCATACCTCCGGAATCACTTCTTTTTCTCAAACTTCTTTTATTAGCCCGGACATATATTCAAGCAAGCCATTTCCCATACTTTTAAGCAACTCTCCAGGGATACCATCTTCTCCGGGTGCTTTATGGTTCTTTAAATTTCTTATTTGTTCTTGAATTTCCTCCTTACCGGTGCTAGGCAGATTGTATTATTAGTTTCCATATTCTCAAAGTGGAATAAACTATCTGGTGTATTACAGTTCAACAGCTGCTTAAAATAGTTCGTCCATTTATTTGTTATCTCTTCTTTAGATGTGATTAGCGTTCCATCATCATTTTTGAGAACTTTCACCAGCTGCTTATATTCCTTACTTAAGAAGTTAACCTTTTTATATAGGTCTTTTGTATTATGACTAGCAAAATCCTGTTCTGCCTCCTTAAGTATGTTTTGTAAATATTTTCTTTTTTCGCATCTTAATATGTTACTCGCTTCCCGTTGTCTCATTTTGAATCTTTCTAACTTCACCACATTCTCAATGTCGAACAGCCATATATTTCTAGCATTCTTTCTTCTTTCTATGGCTTCTTCGCAAATATCATTAAACCAGGTTTTTTTCCTTGTCTTTTGTTTCCCTATTGTTTTTTCTGCTTCATCTTGAATAAGTTGTTTTACCGTTTTCCACCTTAATTCCACTTCTCTACCTGACCCACTTGCAATTATTATTCTTAACTTTTCCTCTATACCTTTTTGAAAATTCTTAACTACCGCTGGATTGTTAAGGTTTGTGATGTCAAACCGTCCCGTAGCTCCTCCTCTCTTTATTTCTTGTCTTCTTTTTAATTTCACTCGTAGTCTACCTGCCACAGGAAAGTGATCTGAATCGCTATCAGCTCCACGTACGGTTCTTACATCTAAAATACTGTTATTAAATCTTTCATTTATAAGCACATGGTCTATTTGGTTTATATGTCGTCCATCTGGTGACCTCCGCGTACCTTTGTGTATCTTCTTATGTGCGAACATGGTACTTTTAACCCTTAGATTTCTTCCCGTTGCCAAGTCTATAATTCTGCACCCATTATCATTCGATAAATGGTGTAGACTATGCCCTCCTATTATCGGCTTAAAACATTCTTCACGTCCGATTTTTGCGTTAAAATCTCCTTATATGATTTGTACACAGCCTCTTGGTATCTCACACAGTATACTGTCTAACAACGAGTAGAAATCATCTTTTTCATTTTTATCCTTGTCCTCTGTGGGAGCATGCTCCATTTACGAAGACTACTTCAAACCATTTTGTATCCAGTGTCAACATCGTTAATCTAGGGTTTATAACTTTAAAACTTTTTACCGCTGCTAGTCGCTTGTTATTAACCGCGAATCCACTTCCAGCTTGTCTTCTTCCGTCACAAGCACCAAAAAATAACGTTGTATTACTTATTTGTATTGAGCCCGTATCTTGCCACCTCATTTCCTGTAGTGCCACTACTCCTAACTTGTATCTTTCTATCTCTCTAACTATTGTTCCTACTGCTCCAGGTTNGTCTCTCTAACTATTGTTCCTACTACTCTAGGTTTAAATAAAGTTTGTACATTCCATGTTCCAAAACGTAATGCCGATTTCCAGTTTTCCAGTCTACAGTCCTTTGATTCACAATTCCAAAGCAAATTTATATTTGATTCCTGAACAAGGGATTTTTACAGGATAGGTTGTTAGCCTATCGCCAACTCCATTATACCCATGGAGAGGGTAGCCAGGGCCCAAGGTTCGCTAAACCCGTAGTACTAAATGCTTAGTACCACCTTGAGGGGCGTCATAAGTATATACCATAAGTTATCATAAGATTATATTTATATCTATACTTTATTTTTTTTTAAATTTCTGTATATAAATTATATAATAATTTAGTTTAACAAATGTGTAGTCCTTAATTTAATATTAACATTTAGAGAATAAATAATTAATATATTTTTAGAAATTTAATCATTTTAATAATGAATTATTCTTGATTTTCCTAACATTATTATATAGGTTTTAATATTACATAATATACTTAAGATTAAAATAAATTTTATAGTAATTTTTTTCATATTTAGAGAACAATTCCTTATTTCTAAATGTAACATATTATGTATCGCAGATAGCTTTCCATGTGTATCTTCTTTTTTTANATTTTATGTATCGCAGAAAGCTTTCCAGGTGTATCTTCTTTTTTTTACAGTTATAAAAATGTGTATTTGATATGATTAATATATATTTTGTACCTTATGTGATCATCACCTTCAGTGTAAAATTTAGAATTGTCTTAAGATAAGTGAATATCATAAAATATTGAAATTAAACTAAAGGAAACTTTATGAATGGAATAAATTATATTTAACAAATTATTAAGTGACCGTTTGTATAGTTGTTTTTAAAGGAGAATAAAAATTCTACATTATAACACATTTTTTAATATAATTATAATATTGGCTAAATATTCTTCTATAGTCAAACAATAAAGTATGTTACGTTTTCATAGTTACTGCAGTATAGTATGTTAATATATGAAAAGGTTGGTTGTTTTAAAAGTATTATAAATAATATTTTCTTAAAAATCTTATTTTCAATTAAAAAACAATAAAAATGTTAGTTGTAAATTNTCAATTAAAAAACAATAAAAGTGTTAGTTGTAAATTTTTTTTCGTGATTAATTAATAAGAATTTGAGAAAATATTTTGATAGATATTGCCTTGTTAAAGACAAAGAAATATTATATTGCTCGTGAACCCGAAACATCAAAATCTTGTTCAGCGAAAATCTGAGATTGAAATTGTTTTTTAAAACACTGGTTTGTTGACTTACGCATCATTAACAAGTTGTATAATACTGGAAACAAAAGGTAAGTGTATTCAATAAATCCTTTTTTACATCAATAATTTGATCATTAAANCCTTTTTTACATCAATAATTTGATCATTAAAATATTTTCGTGAAACATAACAATTAACACAATAGAGTATTATTTATTATTACCAAGACTCAAAAGCTCTCTTGTAAATATACAATTATCAATGTTTGTGCATTAATGACTTATGATTCAGTCATTATTATTTCTATAATCTGTGTAGAAATTTTTAAAACATCTGTCCTAGAAAATTTTCCTTTATCTTTATATAAAATAAATTGTTTAAAAAGTATATATCATAAATAATTTTGTAAAATGTATAGAATTTTTTATACATAAAACTACTGCTACAGGGAGAGATGATTAAGACATTAAACTAGTTTAATAGTTAAATATAGTTTAATAATTAATTTGATATTAATACTATGATATTACATAATGTATAAGATTTACTTTTTATGCATTACTTTAAAGAGTGATTAATTTAAATGAATTATTACTTACTTTAAATATATATT